GGCATAGAATCGTCCAGAAGGGAATGGCAGAGATTCATTTGGAGAAAAGCCGGTGAAAAATATAGAGGGACGAAGAGAAGATGTCCTGGTAAGTATTTACTTACGTTTTATTTTAAGTACGGGTAATAATGGGACAAAAGCTTAGTCAGCATAAAATATCCATTCAGAGCTTAATAGAAACCCTTGTCGTTATGGTTGTTAAGGGAAAATGCAAAATGATCAACCCCAGGAGGAGGCTAGAGCCACCTCAGATCTAACCAAGGATTCTAAAATTGAAAAAGAACAGAGGAGGATTTTATTTCTCTAGATAGTGAGGAAGTGAAGCCTAATGGTTTCCAAGATGGTGGATAGCTCAAGATGGCTTCCGTATGCAGTGCTCGCCACACCATATGACCCAGTCAGTAATCCCACTCCTGTGTATTTACCCAAAGGACTGGAAATCACTCAATTAGAAAGACACTTGCACATCCATGCTTATTGCAGTATTATTCACAATAGCTAAAACATGGAGTCAATCTAAATGTTGAACAGCTGATAACTGGATTGAAAATATGTGGCAAATATACACAATGGAATGCTACTCAGCCCTCAAGAACAATGAGATGCTGTCCTCTGATACAAAGTAGTTGAATCTAGAAGATATAAAGCTAAATGAAATAAATCAGACTGTGAAAGCGGAACACTGCATATCCTTGCTCGAAGTATATGGAATGTCTGTACCTCTCTCTTCTTACACACTGCAGTATACTTCATGGTATTGGGTTATACTTGATGGAGTTAGCAGAGCACTTCCATGTGCCTCATTTCATATAAAATACCTGAAGAATGCACAGTTGCTAGAGATGCCTGAGGTTTTTTTTTAAGAATTATTTTATTGAATTTTATTTATTTATTTATTTAAATTTGACCAGAGAGGGACAGAGTGCGAGAGAGAGAGAGAGAGAGCAAGCAAGCCACCAGGTCCAGGACTCCAACTGTGGTTGGCCAGGTGGGAGTCCAGCACTTTTAAATACCATGCCACCTGCTGGCCCTGAGATGGCTGAGTTTTTAAATAGTCAATGTAATAAAAGAAATGGGTGTCTTAGAAGATTATTGAGACCCAACCATGAAAAGAAAACATTTAGTTCTCCTGGTTTTATGAAGGGAGAGTAAACTTAAATTTATTATTTATTTATTTTTAATTTTTCTTTATTCATGAGAGAGTGCTTATATGACATGTGAGAGATGAGAGTGGGGGAGAGAGAGAGAGAGAGAGAGAGAGAGAGAGAGAGACGCACTGTCCATGGGGTCTGGTCATGCTGAGGTCTCCTTCCTCCAGTACTCCAACTCATTGGATCTTGGTGTATTTCAGGCTGACTGGGGATTCGGACCATGGTCATATGTGGGATCTGGTTCCTCTATGTCTCTTTCTCAAATTTTTGTGAGAGGGTGCATGCACATGTGTGTGTGTGTAAGAGAGAGAGAGAGAGAAAGAGAGACAGAGAGACAAAGTGAGAAAGCACTTTTAGGATTTGGGGCATACATGCACATTTACCTGGTGTGGTTTTCAAGATGCCAGCTCTGAGACTTGTACTGCAGAGCTGACGATGTGGGATCCAGTTACCTTAACCATCATGCCACCAACTCACCCTAGAATCTGGCTTCTCTTAAGCAGTGCATTACCCCTGTGCAATGGAGCCAGCCCTGGAAAGTAATCTTTTGCACAAGTCTTAATTTCCAGGCTCAGTTTTTTGGGCCAAGGAACTTGCTTAGGTCTTTAAACTGCAAATGGTAGGGCAGAGGCCAGGACCCATGCTGTCAGCTTATGTAGTCTTTTTGCTCTTAATTAAAAGGCTTATTCTCCCATTGTTGTATACATGGATTTCTGGTTCACAAACCCTACAACATTCCTCTAACTTACTGATTTATAAGTCCATTCAAATTCCAAATTACTATCAAATTCTAAATTATTACCTAAGTCATTTGATGTCAGCTTTGGTTGGTCTTTGTGCTGTGTCACAATCCATAGTTCCCTGAGCAAATGAACAAAATGAACACTCAAAACCTTTCTTTAAGCAGATGCTTTGATGTACTTCCACCAAATTCCAACAGCAACACAGAAGTTGGAATTCTTATTTCTCATGAGATTGTACTAATTTTAAAATTATTATTCATGGACAATAGCTACCGTTTATAGAATGTGTACTATGTTAAAAGTACTATGTTAAGCATTTACATTATCTAATTTAATCCTCAATTAATTTACAATGCTTTGAGGTTAGTGTCCTCATTTTGTAGGCAGAGAAATTAAATTATAAAGATTTTGAGGTCAGATCTGATTGCAGAGTTCCTATTCTTTTTTTTAAGAGAGCTTTTTTTTTTTTTTTTTTTTGGCTTTGGGGTACATGTGCTCACCAGAGAGACAGAAAACAAGAAATCACTTCCCAGAGGGATGGCCACACCACAATCCCTTCTTCATTCTCTTCCCAGAATATTGGGCATGCATGCATGCACATATGCTCAGCATGAGTTTCAAGCCTCCAGGTTGGGGACTTGAACTGCAGTCCAGCAATGTGACCATTAGGCCATCTGCTGGTCCCCAGAGTTCCGACACAATATTGATACTATGCAACCTATGCACTGATTTCTGAGTGCTTCTTGGTGCCTCTCTGTATCTCTGTTTCTGTCTCTCTCTCTAGAGATATATGTGTCTCTATGTGTATAAATGTGGATATGTACATGTGTGTGTATGTAGCTATACATAAGTAATTGATTTTGAGATGGAGCCTCATTTTAGAATAAAGTCCTCACAGAATCTCAGAGCTGAGAAAATTCTTTCCCATCAAGCACTGATTTTCACTTGCCACCAAGCCCCACTCCCAATGTATGCATATGTATTTATAAATGACGTACAAGATAAATGTGTACATCACTGCACTGATATCTTTGTACACAAAATAGCATTTTTTAAAAGGGTGAGGAGAAATATAGACAGGATTCGACATTTTTCTAATATATTTCTCCTGTATTCCAATGGCATCTCGTCCTCTCTGCCTCCCTGGGGCAGATACACTAAGGTGGGGCCTCACTTCTTTGACCTTCGGTGAGTCTGTGCACGGTATGGAACAGGAGCTTGTGTGTTCTTTTCTTAAGAACTCCTTGTGGCCGAGAATGGACAGCCCCTTCCTATCCTGCCATCCAGAACCTGTTCCCCATAGGCCAATCTTCTTTCCGTAGTACCAAAATACTGTCTCCGCATCCTTCTCTACTCAGCCTTCCCTGAACACCGAGAAAAGCTGCCCAGATCCTTAGAGTAAACTTGACAACATTTGAATGTGTTTGACAGATTGTGAAAATGAGTTTGTGTTGTGTTTTATGAGATCCCCTGGGCTTGTTGTGAAGATCAAGTGATAAAGAGGATCAAGAACTTCATGATACACAAAGGGCTCTACAAGTGTCAAATTATATTATTAGCAGTGATTTGCACTCATGGAGGAAGGAATGGAGGCAAATTAAATGGGGAACTTTAGGTACACACAAAGAAAACTTTTGCCAGTCTACCCCATCCTGTCCCCTGCCAGGGAACCTTTCTCATGGGGCCCATTTTTCTACTACAACTGTCTCCAGGCCATCGGCATTTCCACTTTCTTTTTCAGCGCTGAGAGAACTATGCAGGGTGAAGACAACGAATTGCATTTCCAGAATGCCAGGAATAGCCAGCAGGGGGAGTGGTTGACCAGGATAAGAGCACAAAGAGACTTGAGCAGGTTTGAAATACTACAGCAATATTTGTCATAAAACCCATGCGAGTTAGGCGGAGAATGTCTTCTAAGGTGTCTATGTAATTCTTGAAAATGCATCAAGGTTTTTTTTATTTCCGAATTTAGAGGTTTTTCTCCCTTCCAACCAACTCAACTGGCCACTGTGGAATCCTTCCGCTCACTGAGTGTGGGCACCCGTTCTTCCAGGCACAGAGGGGCCCAAGAAATCAGAAGGCAGAAGAAACCTGTGCTCCAGAGGTTGCAATGCTTGACATGTAATAAACAGGAAACTTCTGTTCCAAGAGCTATCTGCTAGTGCTATTTCAGACTGACTTTTCATTCACTTCAAGAATAAAAGTTGAGCTCAGATTGCCCTTTTAGTTTTTGGCTCAGTGAATAGGGAATGAAAGAGATTTTTCTCTGTTGTGAAGATTGGCTTCCCCTCGCCTCCCCTGACCCCAGGTTGCTTTACCTTTGCAGGAACAGAGTGGAGGAAATGGACGTATTCTCACAGGAAGGTGACTGGAATGGGAACGGGGCTCAGCCTTACCCTAGCCAGTCATGGAAAGTTTCTGGATTTTTTTGTTCCCATCTATAGAACCAGGGGCTGGAAGGAGGATTTTCTCCTTCTCTTATACAAAGACAGGCCAGGGAGAGGTGGCTACACAAGCACATTGCATAAGCTCTGACAGTCATTGGAGGAGCCGGACTGCACCACAGGTCCATCCTGAGAGGGGGTAAAGGGAATGTTGGCCCCCCAGAGTTCCCTCCCTCAGGTGTGATGGGAGTGGCAGTTGAATGGGGCAGTTGGAGAGAAGGGCTCAGGAAGGTGGAACAAGAGGAACCAAATCTGAGGTCCTGGAGAGGAGACCCAGGCAAGGCAGGCAGCAGGTGCCACGCTCTGAGCACGTGAGCCCTGGCACTTCTCCCTGTCCTCTCGTCTTCATCCTCTAGACTTGAGCATTTCTTGCCCAGGTAAAGTTGGTCTATAGCAATTACTGAATACTGCCACTTGTAAGTCCTGCCATTTGCTCACCCCCAGGATAGGCTAGAGTGGTGACACCATCAAATGTGGCTCTGCACGTGGGAAGAAGCAGAGGTTGGAGGGGGCAGCACCTTGGGAGGCCTGGGGTGCTTCCAACTTTGGAGCCTGCTGGGGGGTGAAAGAAAAGGTAGAAATGCCAAGAGAGGATTTTGAAATCTGTGACATACAAAAGTTGGAACTGAATAAATTGAGTCTTTTTTTTTTTTCTCTCTCTCTCTCTCTCTCTTCCCCCTTCCCCACCATATTATTCACAATTTAATCATGGAATTTATTTTTAAAAGACCTTGAATTCATGGAGCATTACTGTGAGGTTCTCACAGGATTAAACGAGAGTGCTCACTTTTCGATCGCGTCAGAACCTCTCTGTGGCTGAATGGCTGACCTCATTTACAGACACCGTCACAGGCCACCCTTTTAGGCTCCGGAGATGAGAGTATTTGAGCTAAGCTCCCATGCTGCACCTCAAAGCACTGCTCCATTTCACGTGCATGGGCTTCCCTCTGCCCCTTTCTCTACCCTCCACACTGGTCCTTTCCCTGTTTGGCTGCCTATGAGGACTAGGGACAGCTGTCATGGACAGGTGAGGTGAGAGGTAGGGCCTGAGGAAAGGCTCCACTGACTTCTCCCAGTTGGAGGCGCTCAGACCTGGAGGGAGAGGCTGTGGGAGCTTTGGGGGAGGGGCGGTGCAAGACTAGCAGATAGTGGAAATTTTCGTGGCTTTAAATTAGGGACAGATTTCTGAAGAAACGAGTAAGAGCTAGTTTGCTGAGAAGCACTTAAAGGGTGTGTCTGCATTTGGTTGATACGAAGGGATCCTAGGAAGGTCAGCACCAAAGGCACCAAAGACCAGGAATCCTGTTCTCGAACAAGAAATTGTGAATTTCCTAGGTTAGAGGGGCCAAAGTGGAATATAACAGGGTTAAGAGGGTAGCTATGGGAAATTTTCTTTTTAATGATGTTGTTGAGACATTTTTTTCCTCTCACTTTAGATAGAAGCAAGGTTAGAGAAAAATGTATTACTATAAGGAAAAAAAAAACACATTGCAAATATGATGATAAATACTAGTGACCCAGAACCCTGAGTCTGAGAGACATTAACGACGGGTGGTGACTGTAGCAAACTAAAGCATGTATATCCTGCTTAAAAAAGATTGTCATGGCTCAGCCAGAGCTGATTGTAGCCACACGAGCATACAGAGCTCCTGATTTTTTCAATAAAATCTGGAAGTCTTTTTTGAAAATGCGCTATCTCCTAATTTTCAAAAGTTTTCCACAATTAAAACAATTTAAAAACTGCGCAAGCCATATTAGGTGGAACTGCAAGTTGCATATGGTCCACAGTCCGCCAGTTTGCATCCTCAGCTGTAAGCAGAGGCCTTCCGGCTTCTGCCTGTCCAGTCTGTTGAGGTTAGGTTGGGAACTCCCACCTGCAAACGGAGAGGAGCAGCAGGGCCTTCTTGCCATCACCTGCCAACCCTCAGAGGCCCTGAATGGAAAAGTCACTCTGAGCATGAAGTCATGATGGCTGCAGGGGCCTGGCTGGCCAGGTGCTGGCCTCTCTCAAGTCCCATCAGCTGTCCCCACCCAGCCCCTTCCTCATGACTACCGACAAGCACATTTCTCACTCCAGGCAGCTCCTCACTCCTGGCAGAGGCTGGCATGACAGACGGGGATAGATACGTTAGCCAAAGCAGACTTCCTGATTTAAAAAGTCTCATTTTCCCCCCGGGGCTGCCAAATTTAGCAAGTGCCGTTCCAGCTGCAATGCTTCCAAGCCATCTTAGGTAATCATAACTCCGCACTCCCTGTGGCGTGCTCAAGGAAATTACCTCCCAGTCCTGATTTCCTATGTGCTCTGATTACTCAAATCTGGCCAGGGGGCCTGGCCTCCTGTGTATGGCATGTTGGACACAGGACTCTGTAAGACAAGCTGATGACAGCTTGCTGCCAGGGTCCTTTGCCCTTAAAAGCGTGAACAAAGAAGTAGAAGTCATAGATAAGGGTTCTCCACTGGTGATGATCGCCTAAGGAGGATCAGGACAGAGGGCCTGGAGAATTACAGCCTGGACAGGAAGCGATTGCACCTGGGTGGCTGGAGTGAGCTAAAGGAAGTAATGACTGAGTTCAGATACCGGGGGACACAAGAAGGGAGCGAAGATGTGGGCTGCTGTTTCCCGAGAGCAGAGTGAGCATTAGGAGAAGATCACAGTTTCACAGAAGGACAAACGGCTCCCTTTAAAACTATGCCTTTAGAAGATGGTTAATTTTGTGTTTTGAAATGATTTTCAACTTACAGAAAAGTAGCAAGAAGAATGCTAAAAATATCCCAACCACCCTTCGCTGAGTAAATGTGACCATTGCAAAGTATCATTTTGCCACATTTGGTCTAGCATTCTCTCTTTAAGCATCCTCGTCATTATTATTATTTTCTGAAAGTAAATTGCAAACATTTTGCTCCATTACCCCCTACATACTTCAGTGTGCCTTTCTCAAAGATAAGGACATTCTCTTTGATAGGCATAATGATCAAAATGATTAACTATCCAACTGGACCATTAGCAACCTCAGGAAATCTAACTTTGGCATATAACATGTCATCTTTAGCCATATTCAAATCTGGTTGTCCTGTTAATGTTTTTGTTGTTGTTGTTGTTGTTGTTGTTGTTTGTTTGTTTTTGAGAGGTTTTTGCTACAGAGTGTGTGCACTGGCCAGAAAGACAGAGAGAGACAGAGAGACAGAGTCAAGAAATCACCCCCCAGGGGGATGGCCATGTCACAATCCCTTCTCCTCCATTCTCCTCTTGGGACCTTGGGCACACACGCACACATGCCCGGCGTGAGTGTTAAGTCACTGGGTCTAGGACTCAAACTGTGGTCGACTACATGGAAATCTGTGATATAGCCATTACACCAACTGCTCCGTTAATGTTTTTATAGTAATTTTATTCTTCCTGATCCAGGATTCGATCTGGGATTGTCTGTTACTTTTAGCTGACATATCTCTAGTTTTCTTTCATCCAAAAGGTCTTTTCACCATTCTTTGTCTTTCATGGCATAATAAATGTTGTCTAAGCGCACAGGCCAGTTGTTTTGTGGAATGCTCCTTTGGGATCATCTAGTATTTCCCTATGACTAGATTCAGGTTATGCATTTCCTGCAGAAATTCTGCATGAGGGCCATCCTGAGAACAGACTGGGGTTCATGGCCAAAGCTCATAGAAGCACGATCTGGTTGGCCAGAAGAAAATTCTCACAGGAGAGGCCAAGTTTTCCACATCTCATGTCTTGGATTCATTAACTTTTGAGATTCTATGACTCCTTCTCCCTAAAATAATTTCACTTAGGTTTTGAAACACTGTGAGCTCTTTCTTCTCCCTCAGCTAATCTGCTTTACTACTGCTGCTTTCTTTGCTCAAGCCACCAGGGCAGGGAAGAGGTCCAGTAGCCTGTGGGAGGCCATGGATAGCTGATCAGGTACCCATGTCTCAGCTAATCTGCTTTACTACTGCTGCTTTCTTTGCTCAAGCCACCAGGGCAGGGAAGAGGTCCAGTAGCCATGGATAGCTGATCAGGTGCCCATGTCTAGAGGAAGAGGGAGGACAGGAATGCAATGGAAAGACCGTACAAAGGATGTGCCAGGTTCAGGGATCTCTCACCTCCATGGCCAAGGCTGGATTGTGTTTACTCAGGGAGTCAAGGACCTATCCAATGGTGAGAGGCCTATTTCTTTACCGTTCCCAGCCTAGGCATCCCTGCGGTAGCCAGAAGCCCTTCACTGTCTCCCTGCAGTAAACGAAGAGCAGTCAGAGGCCGTGATGTTTTGGGTTGTGAAGGTCGTGAAAGATTTTCTAGTGCAGAAACCAATAGAAGTCTTATGGGGAAGGCTATCCAGGGGGACTTTTGTCCAGAGCTGAGACTTTGCAAGGGCCAGTGGTTCCACATAAGTTGGAGCAAATCTAAAGCCTGTTTCTGCTGTCTCAACCCCGTCTCTTTGCTTTTTTACCCAAGCCTTCTGCACACAGTTCCCTCAAAGTCTCCCTATGCAGCCCATCCCCCTGCCTCCCACACACCCAAATTCAACTGAAAGGCTTGGTCTGGGCTTTCTCTCAAATCCTCCTTCTATCCTCTCACTCTTTTCAAACCACCCAGTTCCAGTCTCACCTCCCGTGAGAAATCCTCCCTAACCCCATCCTCCTTTCAGACCACACTGACCTCTACTTGCTCAGAACTTTTGTAGCACAGCTCTGTGCTACTCACTGACTGAGCACACCCAGCCTGATCCAGGGTTTACATTCTTATTGGTATGAAGACATAACATAACGACATGGGAGGATACCATGTGTAACTTCCAGACCTTGTTTTCTATGCCCAGAAGTGACCATCATCTTGAATTTAGTATCTAGCTTTCACATACACTTCTTAAAAATAAGCTTTATTTTTTTTTTCTTAAGGACAGTTTTAAGTTTACAGAAAAAGCGTGACGCTAGTACAGAGAGTTCCCATAGACCCCATATCCAGTTTCTCCTACTATTAACATTTTACCTTTGTGTGGTGTATATATTAAAATGAAGGAATAAATATGGAGATGTATATTGTTAGCCAATATCCACACCTGTATGTAGCTTTCCTTAGTTTTTACCTAATGTCGTTTTGCTGTTCCAGAACTTCATCCAAGATAACACTTTACACTTAGTTGTCATGTCTCCTTGGGCCCCTTTTCTCAATTGTGTCACTTTCTCAGACTTTGCTTGTTTTTGATGACCTTGATCATTTTAAGAAATAGTGATCAGGTGTTTTTTTTTTTCTTTTTGGAGAAGTTTTCCCTATGGGGTGCATGCGCTCGCCAGAAAGACAGAGAGACAGAAATCGAGAAATCACCCCCCGGGGGGATGGCCATGCTGCAATCCCTTCTCCTCCATTCTCCTCTTGGGATCTTGGGCACACACACACATGTGCCCAGCGTAAGTTTAAACCGCCGGGTCCAGGACTTGAACCACGGTCAACTACATGGGAGTCCAGTGACATAGCCATTATGCTAACTGCTGGTCCCGTGATCAGATGTTTTCAGGCCGATGGGCCCACATACACACACATAGAAGTGCAAAGCCCAGCTAGGTCTTTTTTTTTTTTTTTTTTTTTTCCTTTTCTTGGAGAGGTTTTTGCTATAGGGCACATGCCGTCACCAGAAAGACAGAGTCAGAGAGACAGAAATCGAGAAATCACCCCCCAGGGGGGATGGCCATGCTGCAATCCCTTCTCCTCCATTCTCCTCTCGGGATCTTGGGCACGCATGCACACATGCCCAGCGTGAGTTTAAGCCACCGGGTCTGGGACGCGAACCGCGGTCGACTACATGGGAGTCCAGCAACATAGCCATTATGCTAACTGCTGATCCCAAGGCTATGGGATTTTTGAGAGGAAGACTACAGAGGTAATATGCCATTCTTATCCCATTGTACCAAAGGTGCCTATTATCAGCATGACTTACCACTATTGCTATTGACCTTGATCACCTGGCTGGGAGGACATTTCAGTTTCCTCCACTATAAAGTTATTATTTTTCCCCTTTTCCATCTAGTCCTATACTCTCTGAAGCATCATATTTTGGTTAATTTTTTTTTTCTCACAGGGTTATAGCTTGACAATTAAGATACTGCTATAGATGGATACTTCCTGAAACAATTAAGAAATTGGATGGTGGCTGGTAGGAGCTGGGTTTCTCACTTTTAGAATTGGAGTTTACAGGTAAGCAAGATGGAGAAGAGGCTAGGATTATGATAAATTATGGTAAAGAATTAAAGGGAGAGCATCTGTATGAACTCATGTTTAACTTAAAATTGATACAGATGATTACCTACAGAAATATTCATAGATAATGTATGTTTATGCTAGTTAATGCACACACATGTATTTCCTTGCTGTGTAAGCTTCGAGGACCTAGAAGCAACAATATTCCAGTAACAAAGAATATACCTAGAGCCCAGATCTTGCTTTTCGATACCATTCTCCAATAAAAGAAATCACAGGTACTTGGAGAAATGGAATTTTTACTACAAATATGGGTGTTGGTAAATACATTATTGTTTTGCAAGGCTGTGAACTTTATACAAATAATATCAGGGTGCATGTAATTTTCTGCAACTTATTTTTAACCCCCCTCTCCATTTATTATGTGTAGTATTCACAGAGGTTCATATGTGGATTTAGTTATTTTATTTTTACTGTTGAATAGTAATATACTATATTCATATTATACAATTATTGCTTTTCCTATTCATGGGTACTTAAGCTATTTTAAACAGCTACTCAAGGTATTCCTGTAGTGAGGTCACAAGGTTATTTTTGTATGAAATTCCATCCTCTGTGGATTGTTTCCTTGTGTTTTTTAAAATGGTTAATTTTTTTTAAAAGAGATTTTTGCTATAGGGTGCGTGCACTCAGCTGACACAGAGAGAGACAGAGAGACAGAGAGTGAGAAATCACCTCCCCTGAGGGGATGGGATGGCAACACTGCAATCCCATCTCCTCCATTTTCCTCTTGGCATTCTGGGCACGCACACACATGTATCCAAGGTGAGTTTCAAGTTGCTGGGTGCAAGATTTGAGTTGTGGTTGGCCATGTGAGAGTCCAGCACCTTAACCACCTTGTCATCGGCTGGCCCCCTGGAACTTTATTTTTGACACTGACAGCAGTAAGTATGAGAGAAGAGGGGGCAAACAGAAGGAGAGGAGAATTTGTGAGGAGAATGAAAAGAAGCCTGCAAACCTAGTGGTTACACTTTATGTGACTGACTGGACAGGCAGATTTTCCCCAGGACGGGTACCTACTTAAGGAGACTACTGCTTCTGTGTTGGTAAGACAGTCTTTCATTTAACCAGGTAACGCCAAATTTCTATACAAACTATTCGTACAATTTATATTTTCATCTGTAAGGTTTAAGAGCTGCTATGCTCCACGCACACGCCAAGGGTTGCAATTTTTATACTTTTTAATAGTGCTTGTTTGGAGAATGAGAAATGGCTACTACTGTGATTATAGTTTTAATCCACACTTTCCTGGTACTCAGAGACTGAGCATGTATTTTGTGATTATTTGACTCATCTGTCAATTGCCTATTTGTCTTTTGTCCAGTTTTCTGATTTAAAGTTCTTTCCTTGTTGAGGTATTAAGAGTTCTTTACAGATTCTGCCTGCTGGTTCTTCATAGGTAAAAGGTTTACATTTACATCAGCATATTACTTCTCTTTTTAACCTTTGAGAAAATTAGGTCTGCTGGTTAACAGATATGTCTAAGGTTTTATTTTTTATTTATTTTTTAGAGAGATTTTTGCTATAGGGTACGAACTTGAACCGTGGTTGACTGACATGAGAGTCCAGGGATGTAACCATTATGCCATCTGCTGGTCCCAAAGCATGTATAAGTTTAATGTAGTAGAATTTATCAAGCTTTATCTTTATGACTTGTTTTTCTCAATTTGCTTTAAGGAATTCTTTCCTATCCTAAGATCATAGCTATATTTACTTCACATCGTATTTTTTCCCTCTTCTTTCTTTATTTTTTACATTCAATCACACTGTATCATTACAGCATAGCAAATGAATTTTTGCATCATGAATGTTGGTTGAGTCAAAGATATTACCACACACGTTATCATCAACATATACTTTTCCATTTTTGTGTCCCTTAAATTTTTTGCTGAGAGGAGGGGAATCAAGGGGAAAAAGAAAGAAGCATCCTTTCACTTTCAACCTATTTGTGTCTTTATGTTTAAAAAATATCTCTCACAGGGAGTATATCATTGGACCTTGGTTTTATACTTAGTCTGACAATTTCTGTTTTTTTATTTAATTGAAATGTTTAGTTCATTTATATATAATTATTGATATATTTGGGTTTAAGTTTAACAGCTTACTATTTATTTTCTATTTATTCCTCCTTTTTTTTTTTTTTATTCCTCTATTCATCCTTATCTACTGTTTGGGGGATTGATCTACCACTTAGCATTCCCTTTTATTTCCTTAATTAATGGGCTAATACTGTGCTATGGCTTACGTTTTTTTTTTTTTTTTTTTTTTTTTTTTTTTTTTGGGTTTTTAGAGGCCAAGGGAGAGAGAGAGAGAGAGAGAGAGAGAGAGAGAGAGAGAAAGCACTCCCTTCAAATGGGATTTGATCATCCACAATCCTTTCAACAGGGTTTTGTGCATACACGTACATGCACCTGGAGTATTATAGTTTACATTTTAATGGTTATCATGTGCTTATTTCTCCCTTTCTTGGGGGAATATTTGTGTCCTAGACTTTTCTCATACTCATCCTTATATTCCATCCAACAATATGTATTGCATATCTGCCATGTGCCAGGGACTCTGCTAGTTCTTAGGACTATAGCTGTGAACAAGACAGACATGAAGCCCTCAGTCTCTTTGGGAAATAGAGGAGAAAGTAAGTAGGATTTTCCAGAAAACAAAAAGTCTGACTTGAGCCTTGAAGACTGAGCAGAAGTCAGCTAAGTGAAAGGAGGGATATTAGATTGCTCCAGGTTATGACAATTCAAAAAATCCAAAGGAAAGAGGAATTGGCAATTAGCTCCAGGAATAGCAAGAAATGCAGCATGGCTGGAGCACAGCGCTAGATAATGCGAATGGAGGGAGGAGTATAGAACAGGGTGCAGGTTGGCAAGAAGTTGAGAAAGTCATTTTTAATCTTCTCCTTGAATCAGAAATCGAGAACTGGGTCTATGGCAAGTGTGTCATTAATATTCATTAACTGAAAGACTGAAGCTATTCTGAGCAGAACTACTGCCTAAAAGACTTCTCCAACTGACTATTATACCCCAATTTACACTTTGAGGAATTTGTCTTTTTGAGATAAAGGTGTTCTGATTTTCAGATTGGAATGTAACAAATAGCATTATTTCAGAGAAGTTCCTCTTATAATATATTGGTTGTCAGAAAAGTCATGACATATATTTCTATGCAAAAATGTGTCATGACTTCTCCAGCAACCCAATAACATAAGCAAGGGATTTTCAGAGTTGTTGGGGGACAGGAAGGAGCTTCCGTTTCCCTGTAGTTAGACTGCCCTAAACAAAACAGTGCCACTCTTTCTCTATTTACCCTTGAGTAAGTCCTTCTCCTCTCTGGACCTCTGTTTCCTCCTCTGTATAGTGAGGTATTTGTAAAAGATCACATCTGAGGACACTTCCAGTTCTGCCATGGCATGGGTTTATTAGCTATTAATACCTTGATAGGAATTGGTTTAATTAATGTTTCTATCCATGAAAACTTCCAAAGAGAACTCATGAGAATGTGATTTCTGTGTACCTATAATAATGTCTTTGGTCACAAGCAACAGAAATCAACTTAGGTAAAAATATAGCTTAGATTGAATAAAAAGAAAATTTTTATCAATAGGATATAGGCAGAGGGATGTCATGGAACCTAGGTCATGAATAGAGTTAAGTCTCAGGAAAAGACTAGAACTAGGAAAAGGAAAACCTTAAGGGAGCATTCTTTATGAATTGAGCTTAGATGGTTGGAGAATGGGATGGTTGGTTTGTAGACTGGACACACAAGCCTAAAAGCACTCTCTCCACCTGGGTTGTTTGTTTTTATTGGGGGCAGTGGTCACAGAAATGTGAGGAATGTGGGCCTACCCAGATGTCCTGTCCCAAGGGGTGGCTCTGTTGAAGTTCTCTAACCATTGGGTATCAGGGATATAGATACACAAGTCCTGGGTATCTGTGAGAATCTGGAAAAAGAAGGGGTGTGTGTGTGTGTGTGTGTGTGTGTGTGTGTATGCACACATGTGTGAGAAAGAGAAAAAGAGAGAGAAACTTTACTTTGTGTCACGCTAGAAATCGAATCTATTTTCATGGGGGACTTTTTGACTGGGCTGGGACTTGGTCTTGGTTGTGGCCAAGTTGCTCCCAGTCAGGCCAACATAGGAAAAGAAGAGGAACCAAATGGTCTTACTAATAAGGGAGCCTTTGAGAAGAATTCAGAGATTTTGTGGGACTTCTGGCCATACCATCTCAAAAGTGTGGAAGGCTAATTGATGAAACCAGGTCTGAGGGATCAAAGCTTGGGAACCTATCTGGGTAGAGTAGAAATGCCTTATTCTATCCCAGAAGTATTCAACTCTCAGAGAACCTACCCCCTTTCTCTTCTGTAGAGTGAAAAGGTCCCTAATCCAAGAGCCTTGAACTTCAGGCCACCATCAAGATGGTGGGGGAAGGTGCCTACCTTATTTCAGATCTGGACCGGCGAGGTCAGCGAAGATCTTTTTCAGAGAGATATGATCCCAGCCTGAAGACCATGATCCCAGTGCGACCCTATGCAAGGTAAGAAAAGAAGATTGAAGAGAAGACCGGGGAAGGACCTCCAGGAATAGTTTCTAGCCTATCAGGAGAAGGGATACTTCACTTGCTACTCATGTATTGCTCTATATGCTTGTCCTTTTATCTGTCCACCTGTGCATGCATCCATTCATTTATCGACCACTCCTTTGCCTCCTCTGTCCTTTATCAAGAAAAAACCCTAATGTTTAAGGAGAGTTTTCCATATGCCAGGACCTGTCCAAGTGTTTTACAAACATCTTCCCATCCACTCTTCACAATCACTCTAGAGGTACTATCATTTTTTTCTGAGACATTAAGAAAGTTGAGGTTAAATAACAGGGAGGTTAAATAACTCACCTAAGGTTCATCAAGTAGCCTTTGCTTTGTAACAAACTGCCTGGACACTTACTATCTTAAAATAAAGCTAAGGATCTTAAAACATATCCCCTGCACATTTATTAGTTTACAGTTTTAAGGGTGACCCATTGAATAAAGTAACTTGGGCTGAGCTCAGTGGGTTATTCATTTGACCATTACTAGATTTACTCATGCACCTGCTGATCAGCAAGGTAGCTGTGGTTCTGGGGATTGGCTGGCTGTTGGCTGACGCAATAGAGGCAACTAGGCCATATGGACACTCAACCTCCAGCAGGCTAACTTGAGCTTGAGCACATATTAATATGGTAGGCATCCAAGGAATGAGGATGCAGGGCTTCTTGAGACTTGGGCTCACAACTGGCAAACTGTTTCTTTCACTGCATTCTTTGGCCCAAGCAAATCAGAAGTCACCCCTGATTCAAGATGTAAATAGACTCAACCCTTTAATGGAAAGAGCTGTAATGCCACATCTCAAGGAGCTGGGATACAAATAAGGAGATACAGAATTGGGTCATTTTTTAACTCTAGCATAGGAACTCAGGCAGCTTAACTTTCAAACTCTCATGCTCAGCATTGCATTATATTATTACATATTCAGTAAATCCCTTATCTGTGGTTTCGCTTTCTGCAATTTTAGTTATCCATGGTCCACTATGGTCCAAAAATAGGTGCACATAGTACAGTAAGATATTTTGACATGAAGAGACTACATTCGCATACTTTTTATTTTATTGCACTGTTACAATTGTTCTTTTTTTATTATTAGTGCTATTAATTGCTTACTGTGCCTAATTTATAAATTAAACACTATTATAAGTATGAATATATAGAAAAAACATAGCATATATAAGATTTGAAATGATCTGTCTCAGGCATCCACTGGGTATCGTAAAGCATATCCCCTTAGTGTAAAAGGGGAACTCCTGTGTTAATATTATATTAACTACAGCATCATAAATTGCTATCTATCATACACAGAAAGAGCCCTGTAGTTTATCCTCTGAGCAACAGAAGGCCAAGTGACATCTCTAGAGCAAGGTGACACATCACTGCCCTCTCAGCATCTCTGGACCAAAAGATGTAAACATTTATACTCTCTAGATGAGAGGTGAAAACTGAAAGGTGAAATCAGGGGCTATTATCTTTTGGTAAGGAAAGCTCTAACTACCCACTGTTTTACTTCAATTTTTAAATTGCTTTGAGGAGAAGTAATATGGGTTAATACTTGGGAGAAGGAGGGGACCCTGTAGTCAGCATGTAGTGGCTTTGAATCCCTCTTTTACCTTTGCCAGTTATAAGACTTTGGGCAAGCACGCTAGCCTTTCTGTGTCTCAATGCTTTTGTCTGTGAAATGGGGTCACAACACAACCCTTATATCTATCTCATTGAGTTGGAAGAACTATATGAGGTAATGCATGGCTTTATTATGAAAGCTACCTTGTGGGAAACTTGTACTGTGTTTCAGACACACAGTACCTCATTAATATTATCTTAACTTGGGTTCTCCCAAGCCTCAGTCAAGAACATAGATGCAGGTAGGTCATTTAGGAGGTGATTCCAAGAATAAGGAGAGAAGATCTAGAGAGAATGAAGCAGCAAAGGAGGAAAAAACAACATAGGGTGTGGCATCTGTGTCTCTACTATGAGCAATGGGAACTTAATTCTACGAGGCTCTCCTAAGAAGTGTCCAGGTTTTCACACAAAGGATGTGAGGTGGGGGCACTTATCCATGGGCTCTCAAACGTCATTAGCTAAGGTTTGCCCTTGAAGGAATTAACCTCCTGCTCTTTCAGGCTTCACTCATGCTCCTGAGGAGATCCTGAAACAGATGGTGGAAAGAGGCTCAACATGCACTTGATATGAGGCACTGTCAGAGTGAGCATGCATGAAATGCCCTCTGTAGCTGAGATCAGAGGTGTACAGGGGGTACCTCTATAGCATCTGCTACACTCATAAAGCTCACCAGAGCCTCGGATGTAATAAACATCCAGTAATTGGTAGATGATATTCTATGTCTCTGGCTTTTATTCTGTCTTAGTGGGTTAATTTCTCAAGGGCAAAAACATGGCATTTTTCTCTTTCTTCATTTCCTTTTTCTTCTTGTTTCCTCTTATTCCTTCTCCTCCTCTTCATATTTCTTCTCCTTTTTCCTATTCCTTTCCTTTTCTTCTTCCCTTTCTCTATTCCTCTCCCTTTTGCTTTCTCTATCTCCCTGTTTTACCTGGTAGCTACACAGGACTTAGTCTATGTTAATCTATTCCACTTTCATAATAAACCATAGACTTAACTCTAGCTCTTGCCCTCTTGAGATACCTTACCTCATTCTAGGATGCCTCACTCTGGACCATTCCCATTCTCCTGAAAAGAAAATATATAGATGTGTCTAACCCCTTTCATGGTCAACTAATGGGTTTCCACTTCCTCATGCGTCAAATACAGCAGGTTTCTTCTTTCCCATGGGATGGTCAAAAGATTCAAGCATTGGTAAAATTCAACAACTGGCTTGCTAAAAAACTTCACTTGTCTGTAGTATTTATCCATTTTCATGGCGGAAATACTCCCACCATGGCCAATTTCAAGCTACTAATAAGGTGTTATTGAATGAGAAGTTGAGAAGAAATGCACAGTAGCACAGCATTCTATGGTATTCCCACTGGACAGATACAATAGAGGCACATAACTTCCTAGTACATTAGGAAATGATGAGTTTTGAGTATTATTAGCTTTGTCTTTAAGAACAACTTATTTAAATTTATGTAATTTAATTTTGAATATCGACTGTGTTTAACCATAGACTTACAAAATTCCTAAAAATTTAACCATCAGTTCTCACAAGTTTGTATGTACTGGCCCCAGCACACACTGCTCAAAAGGCTAATGAACATGGCTGCAGTTATTACTGTGGTTACAAACTCAAGCCAGGGAGCCAGGGTGATGGCCCCAATGCCCTGGAACACCAAGTATCTCATTCATCTTCAGATTGGCATCCAACCCAGTAGATGATGCGGGACTGCTCTCCTTTGCCACGTTTTCCTGGCTTACTCCAATGATGATCAGAGGCTACAAACACACGCTAACTGAGGATAACCTACCCCCATTGTCGCCATATGACTCATCGGACACCAATGCTAAAAGGTATCAGAATTCATTTCAGTCACCTCAAGAGAGGCACCCACTCTAACAAGGGGTCCTGTGAGCTTTTTTCTGTGCTCTTATTCCCTGATGTGGAAATTGTTACTTGTGGGTGCTGGTGATGCTTCTCAGAGGCTGCTCTCTGAGGACTGGTCTGGGCTGTCTGGCTCTGTTCTGTGGAGGTAAGGATTAGGGAGGGTTGCTTGGGAGAGAGGATTGGCTATATAGCTATGACCTCAGGAGTATTCTGGCTGGGCTGGCTAGCCTAAAGGAGTACTATACCAAGACAAATGTGGCTGGAATCTCATTTTGCTCTAGTCTGGTCAGACCCCACCTGGACTATGCAACTGGCTCTAAGGCACTGTGGTTTATTTCACTTTAAAATCATTATCAAGGGCTAGCTGGTGCCATTGTAGTTAAACAGCTGGATCCCACATGCCAAACTATGTGATTCAAGTCCTGAACTCAGAAGCTTGAAAATCATGCCTGGTGTGTGTGCGTGTGTGCCCAGAATCCCAAGAGGAGAATGGCTAGGTGGGGATTGTGACACGGTCTATGCCTCTGGGGGTTTGCTTTCTCACTTCCTTTTCTTTTTCTCTTCTCTTTGTCTCTCTGCACTGAGAATGTGTGCTCTATAGCAAATTAGGAAAAAAACACATTATTGGACATTTACATTCCAAAATATATCAGTTGATCCCAATGAAAGTGATAAGACTTGACATTTTTTTTTTTTTTGGAGAGGTTTTCGCTATAGGGCACGTGCGCTCGCCAGACAGACAGAGAGAGACATAGAGATAGAAAGCGAGAAATCACTCCCCAGGGGGGATGACCATGCCACAATCCCTTCTCCTCATTCTCCTCTTGGGATCTTGGGCACGCACGCATACGCGCCCGGCGTGAGTTTTAAGCCACTGGGTCCAGGACACGAACCGCGGTCGACTACGTGGGAGTCCAGCGACATAGCCATTACGCCAAAAGCTGGTTCCCAAGACTTGACAATTTTGACTTGTAAAAAAATGTGTTATTGGCTCAACCTGATTCATAATTATTATGAAAATGTCAAAGCAGTAAAGTATCTTTTACCATATTCCTGCTCCACTCCCAAGAGGTAAGCACTATTAAAATGTCTGCATGACTCCATCCAGAATTTTTCTGTGATGAAGCCCATCCTGTGCTACCATTGCCTACAGATTAATACTCCTTTTTCTTCTCCACTTACATGTCATACTCTTTTTTTTGGTAATTTTAACAAAAAATTAAGCTTACCATGCAATGGTTGGTCACTTTGCTCTTTCAGTTGAGAGTTTATAAAGACTTTTTTATATTAGCACAAAGACATCAATGTTATATTTCCTAGCAGCTACATTGAATGCAGTGTTTCTGATGACCTAGCATGTCTCAAACCATGGGGGGAAATCTTCAAAGTCCTCTGCATTTGTTTCTTTGAAAGTCTCTTCATCTCTGACCATGTGGGGTAAAGTACACGGCCCAGCCTGTAATATATACTTAAAGGGCTAGGAGTGTTAGTCACGGCCTTGAAATTGGTTCTAGAATTGCTCTTCCCTCATCTGTGCCTTGAAGAAATCAGTGGTGATTTTTTCTAAGATTTATAGTCTGGAGAAAGTTTCCAGGTTGTACTGAGACACAGACGCTGGGCCAGATTCTGTGGAGTACTAGATTTTCCTTCTACCTCTCTGACCAGTACTTCTCTAGCTGTTCTTTTTTTTTTTTTTCCTTTTATTTGCTTTTGTTTTTGTTGTTGCTCTTGAGAGAGAGAGAGAGAGAGAGAGAGCACACTGAGGAAGAAGGAGGGTAGTTTTTTGTTTATTTTTTCCTATTGGAATCTTACCATTATGATCCTCTGTCTCAGCCTCCTACTTAGCTAGGATTACAGTTGCACGCTATCTTGCCCATGTGTTGTCTGGGATCTGAACCTGGGTCTCCCATGTGGTCTCAGCCTTGCACAGTGGTGCCCTAGTGCTTAAATCACCTCAGCTGGGCCTTCTCCATTTGTTTTCAAGGTTTCCTTTCATCTACCCAACATCAGCTTAGACACTCTTCTTTTCCATACTGTGCTCTGTTTCCAGGAGATCTTTTTACTCCAAAGATGTACACACCAAACACGTGTTGACTACTTCAAATGCATGTCTATTTCACATCTTGATCTACCTCTCCTTTCCATCCACATCTAATTCATCAGAAGGTCCTGTTGTCTCTCTGTCTGCCCACCTTCCTTAAATCCACTACAGTACCATGCCATGGCACTGCAACCTCTCACCTGACAGTCTAATTCTGTGGTCTCCTGCCTTTACTCCTGGCATAATCCGCTACTCTCACAGCAGCATCAATGACTTTTGAGATGTATAAAATGATTTTATCACACTGACTTAAAAACCTGCAGTGGCTTCCTTTGCATTTGGAATGAAATCTGGACTCCTTAAGGAGGGCCATGAAGTCTTAGGGGATTTGGCCCTACCTTTCCTCTTAGTGTCTTGTTGGCCTCTCTCTTCCACCACACTCCTGCCACACTGGCCTTTCTTTCAGATATTTGCAATGGAGAAAGCCTTCTCTGCCCTGAAGAAGATTCTTCTGTTGGCTTCTCTGTTTCCCCTGTCTTCTTTATCAGAGCTGGTACTGGAGCAGAGATGGGCAGTGGGCAGTGGAAGCAAAGGCCTGGGAATTGCCCACATGTCAGGTAGTCATACCAGCTTGTGTCTAGGCATTGCCCCTGTCCTTTCCATCTTCTACTTTCCTAGGAGAAGAAGGCAGGAGAATAGTGCTGCTTGTCAGAAGGTACCATTTCAGGGATGAGAGCTGTGCTAAGCACCCTTGCAAAGGTTTGTCCTCTAGAGTAGCTTTAAACAGCAAGTGGAAATGTCAACTTTTTTTTCCCTTTCTGTTCTTTCATCACAGATTTCGAATCCTTTGGGATAAAGAGGTAGAAAGGGTGGGCCCTGAGAAGGCCTCTCTGGGTCGAGTGGTCTGGAAATTCCAGAGGACACGTGTTTTGATGGATATTCTGGCCAACATCCTGTGCATCATCATGGCAGCCATAGGGCCGGTGAGTAGGGGGTGGCTCTTCTTCTGCCGTGTCTCTTAGGTCCTCAGCCTGGCAACGAATGCCATTAGTTACTTTCTCTACGAGCTGGTGGGTTTAGTACATTGTCATTATCTTTGTGCTCCTTGGGGGCGAATTTTCATAAAGCTAATCCTTGTCGAGCACAGCAGCAGCCACTGAAATTAATTAAAATGTTTGCCTCATAAAGCCAGCTTGCTGACATTATCTGTGGCCTCCTATACCAACTTCAACCCCCAGTGGCCTTCTCCTTTCTCCACCACACTGTTTTACAGACGGTTCTCATTCACCAAATCCTCCAGCACACCGAGAATACCTCCGGAAAAGTCTGGGTTGGCGTCAGCCTGTGCCTAGCCCTTTTTGCCACCGAGTTTACCAAAGTCCTATTTTGGGCTCTTGCCTGGGCCATAAATTACCGCACGGCGATCCGGTTGAAGGTAGCCCTCTCCACCCTGGTTTTTGAACACCTGGTGTCCTTCAAGACATTGACACACATCTCTGTTGGTGAGGTAAGCTGGTCCAGAGGAATTTAATGTTAGAAAAGTAATCCTATTTCTGGAATATGTGTGAGATGTGCTTTTTGGAAAAAGTGCCTGCCTCCCTACTGCTCGTTCATGCCCTGCCCACCATATCCCATCTCCCTGCTAAATGAAGTGATAAAGACTCAACATCAGAGGAATTCAGGAAAAGGAGGGCATTGTTCAAGCTGGACAATTTGGAAAGTCTCCCTAGTTCCAGCTGGTACAGGGCTCAGGGTGACTTTATCCAATTCCTATGGTTGTCAATGAGGACACTGAAGCAGTACAGAGCACACTATAGACATTTCATAAAATGTATTGAATGATAGATACAATAATTCCAATTGTGTAATTTGGCCTGCCAAAGCCATAATAAAGGCATGCCTGCTGGACTTCAGAGCTGACATTTTTCTTAAGCCCTTAATTCTTAGCAATAAAATCCTTACCACTTATTCAAGAAAATTTCCCTAATCAAGGAAACTCCAGGGGGTGTGAAGTAAGAATCACTGATTCTTTTTTCTTACAGTTGCTCTTTCACTATTTTCAAAACATTCTATATTAATTATGATTGGATTCAGCTGCATGCAACAGAAAACTCAAAATAACAGTAGATTAAACAGGATGAATTGTTTCAGTCTATCTATAAGGAGTCTGGACAGTCAGTCCATAGGTACAAGGGCTTCTAGAGCCTTTTATCTTTCTTCATCATCATCCTAGCAGATTCCCACAATGGTTCAGAATGGATGCTAGGGACCCAGTCATCCCAACTGTGTTTCAGACAGCTGGTAAGAGGAAGGAGAGCAGAACAACAGGGGTGTGCCTTACACATTGAGTTGGCTTTCTCTAAGAATGCATCCTTAAAGTCCCATGAGATATTTGGCTTACTGTCCTTAGCACAGTCATATGACCATACTCCTTCAACAAAGGAAGTTGAAAAGTGTAGTCTTTTGGGTAGGCACATTGCTGCCCTGAAGAAAGCAGAGTTGTATACAGAAGGAAGAAGAGGAGAATAGACACAGATAGGCAGCTAGTTTTCTCTCTGGCATGCTGCTAGATAGTACATGGGGAGGGGGGTCCTTCAAAAGACTCATGGAAACACATGTTACAAAAGAACTATGCATGGATTTCAAATTAATTCTAATTTTTTCCCATGGACTTTTTGAAGTTTGGAGTACTATTCTATAAGTTTTCATTGGGATTCTCAGTTCTAAAGGACTGGTCTCTCCAAAGTCAGAGCAGATTGAGAACCATAAAAGTCATCATATTGGCATGGCCCCCTAATCACCCTCTCCCTCTTTAGACAGTGTTCTCTTCTCTCTTTAGATCCCTCAGCTATTCTGAAAACCTTCAGTTGAGGAAATGTTTAAGTGACTCTTCCAAAGTGTGAACCCATGTGCTTTCCTTCCAGGTACTCAATGTACTATCCAGTGATAGCTATTCCTTGTTTGAAGCTGCCTTGTTTTGTCCCTTGCCAGCCACCATCCCTATCCTACTGATCATTTGTGCGGTGTATGCCTTTTTTATTCTGGGACCCACAGCTCTCATCGGGATATCTGTGTATGTCATATTCATCCCCATCCAGGTAATGGCAAACTTTGCTATTGTAACTGTTTTACCTTTGTCTTTCACACACACTCTTT